CAAGCCGGCGAAGAACGGGGACTCAGCTGAGCACTATCGTCCGATCAGCCTCCTCTCGCACATCAGCAAGATTTTCGAGAGGCTAATCCACCATCAGCTTATGAAGCACTGCTGGAAAGAGAGCATCATACCACCAGAGCAGACTGGTTTCCAGAGAGGGGTCGCGTGTGAACACCACCTAGCTAAACTTCAGGCCCACACAATAGATGAAATGAGTCTCAACAGAGCTACGGCGCTCATCTCTTTGGACTGCAGTCAGGCCTTTGACTGCGTGTCACACACGCATCTACTTCGCCGTCTGGAAGAGTTCAGGTTTCCTACCACTCTATGCCGACTGATCCGAAGCTACCTCAGCGGAAGATCTCTCGTCGTACGAGTTGGTACAGACTACTCAAACCCAGTCGATACCACCTGCGGAGTACCTCAAGGGTCTGTGTTGGGGCCAATACTGTTCGTCGTTTTCACGGCGCCAGTGGTGGCACTCAAGCATCCAAAGGCGGTGGTAGCAGCCTATGCGGACGACATTGGCATATATGCTTCCAGCATCAACGCGGAGACTGCACTCACTCTGGCACAGAATGCTTCAGCCACAATTGTTGAAGAGCTAGAAGAGATCGGTATCAGAGTGAATCCTGCGAAGACTGATGCTATTGTCATGTCGTTTCAGAAGGGAAAGAAGCATCTACCCACACAATTCACCGTTGGAGGAGTTTATCATAAAATTTCTACCTCGATTGTCTACCTCGGCGTCACGCTAGATAGACATTTGACCTTCTCCAATCACGTTAGGCAGAGGATCAAGCTGGCACGAAAGAAGTCGCACCGGCTCTACCACCTACTGACGTCGCCGCAGCTCTCGCTGAGACTCAAGCTCCAAATTTATAAAGCTGTTATAAGACCAACACTGCTCCACGGGGCCCCTCTCCTGCGATACCTATATAAATCCACGCTTACGAGTCTACAGGGCTTCCAGAACTCTATCCTTCGGCGAATTGTCCGTGGCACCACCCTACAAAGGGCTAAGAATCAAACAATACGCGAGGAGCTCCAGCTCCCCTCGGTACCTGAGTTCATAGGCCGGAGGCACATCAAATTTTTTGATGGGCTGAAGGCCTGTGCAAACCCACTGTTCAATGAGATCTCACCACCACCCAGACCTGGGAGGTGGCAAGGTAAACTCCCTTTGGTGGACATACTCGCCGAAGGATGTGGTCTGGTCTCTGCGGTCCAAACTCATTAATTTGTATATAATGTAAATAATAAAACATTAGCAGAACGGTCCTTCCCCGTTCAATGTCAAAGTCACAAGGCCTTCTGCCACATATGTAACCTTTAGCTATCCCCAATCCTTAAAATGCCCTCGGGCAGTGGAAGGAATTTATTACATGTTTATATTGTATTATTGTATACTATATATGTAATTGTTTCAATAAACTTTTTGGAGGGTAAGAAAAAAAAAAAAAAAAAAAAAAAAAAAAAAAAAAAAAAAAAAAAAAAAAAAAAAAAAAAAAAAAAAAAATTTATTTCTGAGGGTAAATTAGTAATGTTCTCAAGCGAGATTTACGAAAAAGAGATTGACGTAGTATAGAGTGGGGAGAGGGGATGTGAGGTGACAGCAACAGCAAGGGAATTTGCTTATTTAAGAAAGGCGACAATGAAAAGGAAAGTGTTCTATTTTCACTTGGCCAACGACTGTACAAATCAAGTTTTGATCACTTGCGTAGCAGAACCAAGTTAGAAATCGGACGAAAATTCACATCGAGTTCGATACAATTATAGAATTAACAACTTGAAAGATAAACTTCGTTAATACAGTTTATAATCGTTCTCAATTAAAAATTTACGACTTCTTTTTTTTTTATATTTTAATTATTGATAAATTTTGAATCATATTTACTGAAGGCAAAAATAAAAATTCACATAAAAATTAATTTAAAAGAAAGCTTTATGAATACGTGTACGTTGACTACTATTTTTATTTATTTATTTTATGAAGAATTAATGGCAAAGAAATTTATATGAGAACACCGCTTATTTTTTTTTGTAATAAAAATTAATTTAAAAAAATAGTATGAGGAATTTATTTTGTATTTTTATAAAATCAAATTTTCATTTTATTTTTGGAATTGATTAATATAATGCTTTTTTTTTTGGTCCATTAAGAATCGTTTATATTATAGTAACTAGTAAGATACAGAAATCATAACACATGCTAATTGTATAAAAAAGAATTTCAAAAATATATGATAAGTTATCATTTATAATGATTACATATTATTATTTATATAATTCCATTTAGGATTATTCCTAGACAATTTCAGTTATACAGAGAAAAAAAAATATGTATACATATTTATTATACTCATATAAACTAATCACTTCTGTATATTCATATATAAGTTTATTTATTATCCTACGGATTAATGAGTATGCTGTGTGTATAGAAACCCAATATAATTGGGCAGCAAGCTTTTGTATTTTATATGAAAATAAAGTATTTCTCTCTCCGAATAATAAGTACGTATTTAGATGAAAACTGATTAAAGTGAATGATAAAAAAAATAATTATAAGTTTTAAAATATAAAAATTATATAGAATTATGTCAACCAAAATTAGAAGGACAGAAAGGAGAAAAAAGTCAAGAAGTTATTCAGATAAATAAATATATATAAATGATACAAAAATATACTAGAAAATGTTTACATGAAAATAAATCAGTAATTATTCATTTTAAATTTAGTATGTAAATTACAAAAAATAAACGACAAATATGAGTACTATATTTTAAATTTTTTTTCGTTACTTTTTTTTATACTTAATACTTGTGTTTTGATTCCAGTGTATATAAATATATTTTTATTATAAAAAGTAATAGTCTGTGGTACAGATCCCTTTTCATCGAATTATTAACATCCGCCTGAAACTTCGTAAATAGATTTATCTCATCGTAACCTACAACTATTATATTTACGAAAACTCTTGGAATTGGAGCCTTTTCAATCTGGGGGGGAGATAAACTTTGTCAATTTAATTCGGCACTAAAAACTCGTAAATGCACATTTCCTTTCTCATTGAATCGTAAGATAATTTGATCACAAAATCGAGAAAAAAGGTGGCCTTCAAAAATATTGAGCTGTTTGGAGCGACCTACACTCCCAAATTAACAAAATAACAAGGTAATATAGCACAAACTGCCCAATATTTTTGTATTTTTGTAGGCCACCTTTAATATCGATTTTGTTATGAAATTATCTTATGAACCATGTGAAATGGGAATGGGTATTTACAAATTTTTACTAGCTAATTAAATAGACGAAGTTTGCTGATCTCCAGATTGAAAGCACCCCAATTCCGAGAATTTTCGTAAATAAAATAGTTGTAGGTTACGATGAGATGAAACTATTTACGAAGTTTCAGGCGGATGTTAATAATTTGATGAAAAGGAGTCTGTACCACAGACTATAAATGGTACAGTTGTTTTAAATGACATAAATCGATGTTTTTCGTATTTATGATCGATCCTTTTATTTCTCATACTTTTACTGGTTGATAATATATTTCAATAATATTAAAGCAAAACAAAATAAATTCTATTCTATAATAAGATAAATAAATAACAACAATGCTTGAAGCCAATTGAACAGTTTAAATAGGAAGTATTTTAAAACAAATTACGGTGGATCTAAAACACTGAGCCTGTTATGTGACAACGGGCCACTCGAATCTAATACTTTCCTTCCTGTTGAAGACGTAACAGCGAATATTTCGCCAACTCTTCTTCTTTCTGTGGTTAGGGGCAATTGTTCAGAATTTATAATGTCCACGGTATTTATGTAATTAATTCTCAATTGCTTCAGATTAAGCAGTGATAAAAAAAAATGATTTGTTTGATAAAAAGAATAGTTTTAAAACTAATTTATATAGTTACCTAGCTAGTTTTCAAGTAAAAGGTGTTTTTTAAAAATTAACAAGTAATTGATAGGGTGTTTAAAACGTTAATAATCTTAATAATAATAGAATAATATTGGCCTGAAACGAATTATAACTTGACAAAAAATATAAATATATATATAGTATTGAAAAGAAAACTTATAGCAATATTTATAACTTAATAACCACTTATTGTCAAAATATATCGAGGGATATATTCTATAAACAGATTATGTTACGTTCAATACCTTTTCCAAAGAGATAATGATTTGTTTGATTTGTGAAACGAAGGAAATCCGGGCCTGAAGAGAGCAGTTTCACAGAGGGTTAATGCCTATTACAAAACAATGAAACGCTGTGATAAAATTCTATACCGGCATGTTTCTCATACTTTCATTAGAACATTGCCTTTCACCAATTCATAATTCCGTCTACCTTGATAAACAGTTGCCGTTCACTAAGAGACCGCTATTATTTTCGAATTTGAAACAAATCTTTCTATATAAGTTTTATGAAGAAACACTTCATATCGTGGATAATAACAACAGCAAATTCCAATTATATCAAAAATAAATTTGAATATGAAACATAAGTAATAAACTAATATTCAATATTAGGATTGTCAAAAAAAAATGTGAGCTTTCATTCAGTAACAAGGCTTTAATAAAATTATTATACACTTTAAAGCGTATTACCAATTAGACCAATTTATTCAATGAATAGGTGAATTGTAAACGTCCAATTGAAACCATAACAAAATGTGGGTCACATCTTACAATCATTCAAATGTCGAGTAAGTAAAATTATTTTTAAAAAGAATAGGACAAAAACAAGTTAATAACACGTCACACACCAAAATTTCATTTTATAATTAAGACTATTACACTCTTAGGTCTACGGTATAACAGTTCTTCAACAGGAACACACAAGAATATACAATTAAGCCTAAAATGTATTGTCACCTCACAACAATATAATCATAATAAACAGTTTTAGCAAATTATGTGATTAAAGTAATAATAAGCCAGCCGGAATGACTATACGATAAATAATTGAATTAACAACTCACCTAAGTAAAAGCGAAGCCTTCACTACAGCAAGACGTCCATTCAACCACTGAGCTAGTCTTGGCACATCGTATGCGCTTGAAGCCTAAATCGATTCACCACAGTGTCAAAACATCGATTGTTGTGCAAGTGATAAATCGATAAGCGGTACCTACAATAACCTTCAATTTCCAAACAATGAAACTGCCTTTGAATTGTCAAAATATTTGTGTTATTTTAAACACAACCCATTAATCGTATCTTAAACTTTTACTAACAATTGTGACAATTTTCTTTTGATGTGTCTTGCCTTAACGATTCTTGTTTGTTTATAAGTAGCTAGTGAAATATGACTGGTTACAGTTGTCAATAAACAACCGGATTTATCTCTTATAAGTATTGGCACAATATTTATTTAAATCTGAGTTATGACACCAGTCATTGGCATTGATTTGATCAGTTAACGAACTTTGGTGCCTTTGACAATGAGAAAAGTTGGTTGAATTCTCATTAATATGAATGAGCCCAGTGATAAAGTGAGAAGAAGTGATTATGACAGGTTTGATGAACAAGTTGACCCTCGCGTACAGGTAACATTTGTTCTAAATATTTCCTGAGATCCATTCCAACTGAGTAACTCATGATCAAATTTCCTATTTCTATAGGTAGAATTAGAAAGACTCAACACTGCCACTGATGATATAAACAAACTCGAAGTTGATTTAAATGTAATGAATTTTCGTAAATTTTCTTTTATCACAAAAATTATCTGGAATACCAAATATCATGTTTGATTTTTACTAGGAAGCTCGGACTGAATTTCGACAAAAATTATGGGAATCAACCGTGCATTTGGAAGCCATTTCAAAAAAATTGGGATCATGCATTGAAAAAGCTAGACCCTATTATGAAGCCAGGATCAAGGCTAAAGAGGTATTTTATATCATTAGTATAGTTTATTTGTAGATTTATACTAACAGGTAAGGTATCTTATGCTGCTGCAGAGTACATAGAAGTAGTTCAACCTCCTATTGTAGGGGGCTATGTTCAGGTACCAGATAGTGAGAGAAGGATTTGCATATATACTGCAAAATCTCCATTTAAGGATCAAGAAAGAACCTTGCAGATGTAAAAAGTAGGGTCCACCCTTGAAGAATGGAGTCGGCAATGGTTTACGACTTCAATAGGTGTTCCTCCCTCTGATGAAATAATTTCTCATCTGTTCCCAGTTAGCAGCGATAGATGTAGATCATTAATAGGTCTCAAAACTTTTCACTGAGCTTGCGGGCCTCTAAGCAAAGCTCTTTCAGTATGGGAAGAATGTAGATCCCCTAAGTCCAAGCTACAGGATATCATAGGCCATTGAGCCCCTGGTTGCAAGCTGGACTACCTATGAGGCACTGAGGATAAAACTGCTGGAAGAAGCAGGTTTCTACGCTTTGACAGAACGGTTTTCCTCTGCTAATAAATGAGAAACACTACTCCCACTTTAGGGACTTCCAGTGTAAGTGGAAGACAATTGTATGTCCAATCCACTTCTATCTGAGAAAAGGGGAAGGTGCCAGAAATGCCACCATGCTCAAGAGGAGCAGAAGGAGACGGTGGCCAAATTTAATGAGAGACAAGCAAGTGATGTGTATAGCTCAAGAAAAATGGTAGATTAATATTGTTTTATTATCAGCAATTTGTTGTTGAAAGTATGCGTAAAATCTCACTGCTACTAATACCCGTATTACTTATTTTTTCCAAAGTCATATTTACTGGACTATGGCACTTAAATTGAATCATATACTTATAATTTGTTTTTCAGGCACTGCTCGAAACTCAAAAAGCTGCCTCAAAGTTTGAACGAGCAAATTCTGCCCATGCTGCTGCAAAGGAAATGGTTTATCTGGCTGAAGAAGGGTTAACTGCTGAAGGGAGAACTTTTGATCATGCATGGCAAGAAATGTTAAATCATGCGACTATGAGGGTTCAGTATTTTTTAAATTTATTTCCTTTATCTATATATTGTTGTGAATATTCATGCTGTATTATTTTTCTGCAAGTTTAATGAATCACAATACTATAGTATAATATAGTGATCATTTACCCAATTTTCGCTGTTGTTTAATGTTTGAAATTAATGTTTATGATGATTTTCCAACATTGAAGGAGAAACTCTCAGCTGTTTCTAACTAAATATTTTATGAGTAGTAATTATAGACAAATAGTTTTGTAGAAATTATACTATGGAAAATTGGAAAACATTTTTAATTTAAATCTGCAAATAAGTTTGTTGTATTTGACTCACAGATACTTGAATTTTATTGCTTGCAGGTGAACGAATCAGAACTAGACAGGACCCTGAGTGAAGCTGATCATAAAAGGACGTCAGCAGCTTATCACGCTGCCGAAATGAAGGTGCAAAAATTGCAGAAAGAACTGAAAAGATCCATCAGTAAATCTAGGTGGCTTCATTAGCTTTATAAAATTCTTGTTTTATTTTGTTTAATTTTTATTTATTTATTTTTAGCACCCAATTTTTATTTTATTTATCGCCCGTTCACTAATTTTTAGTTAAGAGAGCAGATGCCTTGCATGGAACCACTACTTAAATATATTTACGTAAGTTTTATTTTTACTTTCTGTTTTGTTATTATTTTGTTAATTTAATTTTTGTCTCTATGGTACCACAAAATCCATATTTCATGAATGATATTTTTTATCATCCCTCTGACTTTATAATATATTTTTATATTTTATTTTATTTTGTTCTAAGTAATTTTTCATTTACCACTTATTTAATGGGTTTTTTGATCATTAAAATGTGCGTAAAATCTATTTTAACATTTATGGTGATATTCCACGATCTTTATAAAAAAAATAAATAAATAAAGGAACAGATTCAATTAATAAAATATCAAAGGATTCATAACATATCAAATTTTTGTGTTGGAACTTCAGAGAATTATTTAGTCTATTTGTCCATGTTTAACTTGTTTATCTGGGGTTTGATATTTTTATTTACTCCAAAGGCAGAAAAGAGTGGTTACTCATCTGTTCTAGCCTGATTGGAATGGCTATAAATTGTTTCCTTAGTTCAGCCTATCAGCCTTGGCCGGATTCAAACCCAAACTCAATTTCTGAAACAGGAATGATGTGAGGTACTGTCTCTACCTGCTTGATCAGGTGTCTTTTAGTTTTTTCAACGCACCGGGTTTTCAATTAATTAGGGAAAAAAATGACAATAGATTCAAAGTATTCCCGCATGTTTGTTTATTATTTTTTTTATATAGAAACTACCTTACCCCTTTATTTGTTTATGTTCACTGGCTTTTGCATGTGAATGTATTTATTTAAAAAGTGTAAAGTTGGATATTCATTCAGACATTCAGGGTGTCTAATGTTAGAACAGTGATAAGCTCACAATCGAACTGCTAGAATAGTTTAATTTAACTGAACAAATTTAGCATTAGAGAACTAATCCACAAAATGAATTAGAGGTGGTTTTGAATGAAATTAGTTTAACAGCAATGAACCATCTTTATTCAACAAATTAGGGCAAGATAAATAAAAGTTTTGAGTTTTATTTTTGTAATTTATATCTATTTGAAAATTAAATCTTCTATATATAAATCAAATCAGACTTGTATAATTGTTGTATTTTTATATTATAACTACGATAAATGAATTTAATGTCATTGTATATATATTACCTTTATTAAAGGTTTTGTTTAAAAATTAAATAAATGATATATGTTTATATTTAATTAATTTTTTTAAAAATTTCAGATCATATTTTGAAAGTAAAGCACAGTTTAACAAGTTATTGGAAGAACAGAAACTTAAAGTGAAGGTTCTTGAGAAAAAGGTGAGTGGAGCGAAATTGAGTTACTCACAAGCACTTCGAAACTTGGAAGAAATTTCAGATGAAATACACAAGGTAAATCGAAAATTTTAATCAAGTAACATAATTTTATTTAAAGTCATTAAATAATGATTCAATCTATTCAAAATGTTTTTATAATTTGCCCTTCAAGGATGAAAAATAGTCAGGATATGCAGTCATTTTATGTTTATTAAGTTTGTTGACATTTTGATCCGAGCATGTGATCATCGTCAGGGCAATGGTTGTTGGCTAGACATGGACTGACATTTTTCATGCTTATAATTTTAAAGTCAACTATATCTCCATACCTAAATTTTTCCTTTATTTCTTGTTTCACAGTCTCTGTATTTGTAAATAATTATTTAAATAAAATTAATTTCTTTTCTAAAAAAATATTTGATCAATGTTCCATTACTTTTTTTTTTTTTAGATGAATAAGCAAACAAATACTTTCACAGTTTATTCTTGCGATTTTAATTTTAAATACAATATAATTTTATTTTAACCAAGAGGTACTATACAACTATCCTCTTTATGTATTATTTCCTAATTGTTGATACTGATGATTGTTGCTAACACTTCTTGTGGATATCATGTTCTCAGAGTCGTAAGTGCCGCTATTCAGGAATGGACCCATTGGGCATATCTAACCTTTCCCCCGATGGCACTACAGGAAGCAGTTCTACAAACCAGGATTCAGGTTATACACTATCAACATCTATTACCTGAAATAATGTTTTTTTTTCTTGTATGTATATAAAAAGTAAATTAATTAAAGAAATTGAGAAAATAATAAAAATCGGTTTAGTTAATTTGTCTTTCTTTTGTCAGTCAATCTGTTAAATTAAATTTTTCTACTGAATTGAAGTCACTCAGTCTTAAATTGTGTTAATATTCTTAGTCTTGAATTGTACAAAGTTCTATTTTAAGTGGCTTGGTGTTCATCAAACACTTTTATGTCATGAATTCTGTATTTTTAATTATAGATTTGTTCATAATATGATGTTTTAGAATCGAGCATGTCTCCAGAAGATGAAGATGAATATTTGCAATTGCCCAACTCCCTCGGGATCAGTGCTTCACCAGTTGTTCCTTATGTAAGTATCCAGTACTATAAATGCTTCTTTCTGCTGTATTTAAAAATTATGTTTGTAATGATTAGGGGGGGTACCTCCTGTCAGTTAACCCTCATTTTACAGAATTATACAATTGTTCATTTAATTTTAATACTCGTTCAAATTGTATCAGTGTAATTTACATGTATTCTGTTGTTCAGATTGTATTTTTTTTTTTTTTATCAATATATAATAAACAGAACGAAAACACAGTTCGGACAATTTTTTAATTTCTTTAAAAATCTATATTATACATCGCCCCAATTATTGCCAATTTATATTATTTTATAATTATAATTATTCTTATTGATAATTAGTAACCATGATAAAGGAGAAATAATTCTGAAAATTAGAAGTGTGATGGCTTCGTTATGGTCTGTCCCACATTGTATATGTAAATAAAATATGACACTGTCACTAAAAACTTTTTTATATAATGGAGAGTTTCCCATGTTTCTCATGTTCCCATGTCCTCTTGAAGACAGAACTTACACAGAGTATGTATTTGTTTACTAGTTACTAACCTTTTTTTTTTTTCAAGTGAAAAATTCTGTAGTTTTGCACTTTTTTGTGGAGAGTGAATTAGATTGGTCCGTCAGATTTCCGAAGTTTTAACGCTCGAGTAAAGTCGGCTAGAGTCGACTAATTTAAATGTTTCTAAATGTGGATTAAAATATCTTAGAAACTAAAAATCGGGCCTGCATTCTGTAAGCGATGAGATTGTTCAGCATTTCATCCTCTCTGTAATAGGCTATAATTCAAAATTGTACCTTAATGCGATGAGGAAGGCGAACAGGAAAAAATAGTGTTGAAAACCACATGATAGCGAGGTTAGTTGAACGTATGTATTAAAATATTTCAGGTAGTAAAATTCGGATCTGTATACTGTAAGCGAGGGAAATGTTCAACATTTCATCTTCTTTTTAATGAATTCATGTTCCATATTATTAGCCTCGCCTTGTTGATTTTTTCATTTATATTGTGTGGTTTAAAGCACACACCTTAGTTTTTTTTACTTTTGCTTAGATATTTTGACATTTTATTATAAGATAACAGTTTTTTCATCCATAATTTGACAGATATTATAGGAAAAAACAATTCAATGTTTAGTGGGTATTTGTGTTGTGATTATTTTCCCCATTACTTCATTTTATTGCAACCACTTAATTAACTCTAAATACGTCAGAGTTTTCAAAGTTTTTATACTTCCTGCCTTTTTATCCAAAGTACAGAAAGCAGGTATTGATTTTTTTTGTTTGTTTTTAATCAGCTGACTGAATACAGAAAATTAGAAGAGACGGTTACTCCAGAACGAAGCCCAGTTCCAGAAGACGAATGGACTGAAATATCTCTTTCACCAGAAGGAAAAGCACATCCCCCACAACCACCACCGCCTCCACCTCCTCTTCCCGCCTTCCGAGCCGCTCAATTGCCGAGAAGACAATCATTGGATGTTATTATATCAGGAGGTATTGCCACAGGAGAGAGGGTCAAAGAAATTTTAGAAAAGGTATCAATATTTTTTTTGTTTAAGAGGACTTTGTATTATTTTATCATTAAATGTTTGTTGTTTTTTTACGTTGTTTCAGCAAATAACTGTTTAGAACTAAGCCCTCTAAAACTGATAAGCTTGGTCCTCTGAGTTCATGGTGACGAATAAGTGCAAACACAAATGTCTAAATCAGTTGTTTCTCTAGATTAGTATTTTTCTTCCTACGTGCCTTTTTGTTTTGCAATCGGTTTTTCAAAAGAAATCATAGGGAGTTACAGTAAGCGCTAATCTCGCCTTTAGATATTTGTTTATTGTTTAGGCTGCTTGAGAGATATGGAATTTAATGGTTCCAATTATGATTTAAATGAATTTTCTTTATCCACCATGTCCTTGGATGAATTTTATGCCTTATTTTATTTTGTCTTGCTTCCATTAAACAGTCACAAATTCACATATTTTTTGTTCTTTTTCTTTTTTTTCAGTTGCTTTCTGAGAGAGAAAGTCCTTATCTTTTACACATCTAATTAATGAATTGATCCTTGTTATTCTGTCTTCCCGTTTTCTTAACCTTATAATCCTTCCTTCTGTACGATACTAAAACTAATTATTTAGACAATGGTTATCCAAAATTTGAGATTTGGTCCTCTTGTTTGCTCGTTAGAAGTTTGACTTTATGTTGAAGAGTGCATTTTTAATTATTGTCATACAATTTTTATGTTATAATACTTCATATCTTTTAGTACTTGTTTGGCTTGAGCCAAAGGTATTGGGTAACTACTAAGGACGAATAGGCCTGACGCACTGCTTTTCTTTTTATTTGCTAGTGCCAAGTATAGCCGACACAATCTTCTTCATTCTACTGATTTCCTGGCGAAGTAAAGCTTCTAACTAGAGCCTACAGATGGCACAGGAATCTATTTTGAAGATTTTCTTGTAGAATTCATGAACTGTTGTAGATAAATACCGAATCCACCCTTTTTCTGGCTGTCTCAACTATTTTCATTCTTGTTTTTGTGTTATGTGTAAAACAACCTTCAGTTCAATTGCTGCTAGCCTTTATTTAGTTTGATGAAATTATTTAAATTAGAAATTAGATCAAATAGGATTATCTTAGTTGCATGGTGTTATGGAATAATTTAATTTGGTTATGTTTTAATGACAATATTTTAACAAATAGTAGTAAAGGGCCGGTAAAGAAGGATGGAGCCATCTCACTTAGCGCTGTGATAGATTAATCACTCGCATCAGCGAAAAGATTGATAATATCAAATAAAACTGGAGTATTTTTCAGTTATGGTTTCATAGATATTTGTCTTCAAGATGCCATTACTTTATGCTGTTAAGGTGCTTTAAATTTATTTCAGGGTATTATGAAACTAAACATATCATCTTTATCGATGGAAAGGAGAGGGAGCGAACCGCGGTTGACTAGGAAAGCACCTTCGCCTCTCGAGAAATCTGGGTATCTTTCAGCCAATGATCAAGACTCAGATACAGACAGCCTCACCAGGTAGACTTTATTTTCTCCCTCTTGTATTGAGTATGTTAAGTTGATGCCATCCTCTACAGTTCTTCTCCAATTTGTTGTATATGCCTGATTTAAAAAAAAAATTTATTGTAGCCTTATTGATTAGCTGTGCCTTAATGATCCTTAGTTAAAATATGGAATGGTGGCATTGCTATTATGATTCATTTGGAACAATGGACCTATTTTTGTAATATAATTTTCTATCTTAAGGATGTATATAGGTATATTATTATGATTTATATTGTCTTATTCTTGCAGTGTCGAAATGCTGAGTGATGAGCAAATATCGTCGCTTATGCTAGACCAAGAAATCCAGGAAGCCTACAATGATATTTTTTCTCAACAATCGAAACAAAAGTAAAGATTAATGATGATTTTAATATATACTTATTTTTATCTATATAATTTTTCAATATATATTGAGGACATATTCTTATATATGATCTGTACATGTTCTTAGATAAATAAAATTGCATTTTCAACAGACATTTAAAATAAAAATAGGACATAATAATGAAATTTAATATTTGACCACATCATTGTTTCATTGGTACTTCCTTAGTACGTTTTTGTAAATCAAAAAGATATTTTTGAGTTAATGATTGTGATGAGGAAGCAGGTATATATCAGCCAGTGATTTTAGCCATTAAAGTCTCTTATTTCTGATTATTGACTTTTTTAAGGAAATAAATGAATTTTAATTATATTTCTTTTGTTTTATAATTGTAATGGGATTAAAAACAAATTTTTCACTTTTGGGAATTTCAGTTTTTTTTATAATTTTCTAAGTGTTGTCGCTTATATCAAGGGATGAGCAACATCGTAATTGAAAAAAAAGTATTGCATAGAATATTTGGTCCGAAGAAGGATGATTTAATCGGAGAGTTCAGATGGGTACCAATGCCGAATTGCGTGAATTGTATCCGGTTAATGTAATTGAGGTGATTACAATTGTAGCAAATTAAATGGGCTTGTAAAATTGTTGGACTTAGTAATGAAAGAATTCCTGAAGGTGCCGACTGGTAAAAGTCCGAGGTGTAGACCGAAGTGAAGGTGGGAAGATTGCATTAAGGCTGATACGAAGGAAATGGGTTTGGATGGCGACTGGTGGAGAGAGGTGTGTGGACGGAGATTGGTGGTGTCGCCATCAAACTTTCGAATTCAATAAGCCTTTTATTAATAATGTAATTTTCTAGTTAATTTATTGTGTAGAGGGTAATATATGTATCCTTGTGAGTTTATGTTGCTAATTATTTAAAATTATTGATATCTTTTTTAGATCCAGCATTCTCTCCACTTCTCAACAACAAAATTCATCATAAAATATTAAGTTAAGCTTCCTTGTGAGAAGACGATTGATGTAAGTTAATTGTTCTTGAAGGTAACTCATGGAAATATTTTCCTGTCTATGTAAATTATTTTTATCTCTTAAGAGTTGTTGAAAAGATAAAAGACTGTGAGATTAAAACTTTAGGTTATATATTTCTTTAATTGTTATAAACAATATTTGATAGCGAGACTATTGAGTTATGAAAGTGCAATAGTATCTTTGTCTATTTTTTACTTTTCAGATACTATGTGTAGCCGAAAACTCATTTTGGGTTCTGTGATCGTCTTCTCCAATATCTTTTTTGTTATTTACTTTTATTTTAAATGCAATTTTTCATTTCATTTTTGTTTTTTCTAAGGCCTAATGATTATTTTATATTAACACAACTATTCAGCACTGCTTTGAACAATTATTACAGGCAGTCCTTGTACTTTTGTCAGTTTTCTTTCCTCTGAAAGTGATGCAACTGAGGTCCTGCTCGACAAAAATGTGTACATATATGCACATACATAATAGTCATATGTTTCTTTTTTGTTTATTATAAAACTATGCTCTGAATAAATCATGAAATAACAATATGAATGTAGTTAGCGAAGTTAGATTGTATTACACAAAAGGAAAATAGGGGAAGATTTGTTGTTTGTTATTGTTTTGTTCCAAATGGATGTCACATTGCAAAATGTTGAGATTATGGGAAGTTATAACATTATAAAGTAAGAAAAAAAAAGGATTCTTCGAAATATTTTTTTAGTAAATACCTAATACAATGTACCTTTGAATGTGTTTGTTTCCAAGAAAGCTCTAATTCCATTCATGGCTGTTACTTAATATTGACCCTTTTTTGCTAATGTATTTTTGTCTACAGTTTTTTTTAACTAATTGATAGCTTTATTTTTAATTTAAATTGATTTTTTTATGGCTTCATTCAATAAAAAACTTTAAATTCACTCTGATGTAAAAGTGATTCTTTCGTGAATTAAGGTAATGATGTAACATCGAAACAACTTAAAATAGGGACTTTCAGTACAAATAAAACCCATTTATATAATTGAATTAATTTTTTTAATTACAGTAGACTCCCGCTTAACCAGCAGTAGTGGTAAAAGAAAAAATAATTTTTTTTTCATTCTTAAAAGCGCTTATAACTTTGTGAAATTCTCAACCACTGGTTATATATTTAATTTTTGTTGTGTTTCGGTTCAATAGATTTTAAATAGATTGAAATGTAGGCAAAAAGGGTTTTTGTTAATTAATTTTTTACAATTCACCAAATCTCAATAAAACAAATTTATTCGAAGTAAAATTGATTCTTGAAACAAAATCCTTATTTTATAGAAAAATGAAAAAATAAAATAAAATAATGCATAATTACTGATGAAGTACTGTTTAGTACTTTAACTGTGTACATTACTGATGCAGGACATATTTTCTTGAATAGAAAGGTTTTAGTCGAACTTTTTTTTCGTGTACTATGTTTTTCTTTTCAGTTGAGTTACACCTTTCATTCGATTAACTAGTGTGACAAAATGAGTGAAGAAAGAAAACCAGTTATTTTGTGATTGAAAGATAATTTATTTAAAGAATTTTCTGCAATATAGAAGTTAAATTAATATTAGAGTTTTTTTATTTTATACTCTCTGTATTAACTGGCGATGTCTCAGCCCTGACGAGGACAGATAAGCAGGAGTCTACTGTACTATTGGCAATAGTTGGAATAAGGAATTATTTTAAAAATAAAATAAAAATTACTTGCTTATGACTGAAAATGAAATTATATCTATTAAAAATGTTACTCAATGTCTGCCAATCAAAGTATTAAATAATTATAGTTAACCGGAGAGTTATCCTTGTGTTCAAATATACATCTCTTCCATAATTCTTCAATTTGTTCTTAGCATGTACACTTCTTATGTAGCCATCTGAACGTTGTTCTTATGGATTCTCTCACAAATCACCTGAGAACTAATCTATAAGCAATAATTTATGTTCATTGTTCTTCTTCTCGGATGACTTGGGGTACCACAATAAAAATTATTTTTCAATTTCAGAGTACAATTACAATTAGGATAAATTTTTGTTTGTCTTCCTATATTTATATAGAGTTATCACTTGTTGGTAATGAATTCTTAATGTATTCATTACCTACTCTTTACATTTAATCAGAGACTTTTATTATAGCTGCAACAACTTATTTGGATTTTTGTTTTAAAATAATAGTTTCTAGTCTTCCACATTAATTAGACTTCTATTGCTAAATTCAAAACTGATATGTTCAGTTTTTTTATCCATGGACGATCACCAAAAACCATATTGGTGTTTTAAAAGCGCTATTTGCAAGTTTAAATGCATTCATTCAAGAAATTTATTTATTATTACTACATTTGGTGCTACCCCCTCCAAGTGCATGGTTCTCTCCACAGATAGCCTGCCAGGCTGGTCTGTCGCCAGCAACAACTCTCCTAACAGCTAGATCTGCCTCAACATCAAACAACCATCTCATGCTAGGTCATCCATGTCTTCGGGCACCTCCTGGCTTTCCATACATAGTTTTGGGAGGTGATTGCTCCCCATATGCTCCTTTTCTAATTTAAACTGAGACATTTTGATCACAGAGTTCTTCGACTTAATTTTTTTTTTCTTTCTACTTTTTCTTGCTCCTTGATGTTTCTCAGTTCAGAGGGACCTGGACTTATTAGTATTTCTAACTGCGATGATAACTTTGCTATCATTTTTATAGCAGCTATTTGCATCACTTCTCACTTGCCATTCATCCATGTCTTCCTAGTACTATGCCTCAATGAATTTTCCTTCGTCTTTTAATATTACTGAACTTGTTTACTCTTCACTCTTTATAGTTGTAATCTCTTTTAACTCCACTTGCTACTGTCCTGAGATATTTCCTTAACCTTCTATGATTGCTTATACACTTATCCTAATCTTCATTTCTGTTAGGAAGATAAAATGTGTTTGACTTTATTTTTTGTTTTCAAGTTTTGATTATCTATTTTCAATATACTTTAGTTTTATAAAATTAGTCTTCAAGAAATCAAATATCAATATAACAAAACAGGCATCCTTATAAAACATCAAAAAGATTATTTTTAATCAACACGATGAATGAAATTTCTATCCTGATATGATAGAACTAATAAACTTGAAAAAAAAAAAAATAGTTTACTAAGTGATATTAAAATTTCTAGTTTTGTCATTAGGCATACTACGTTAAAAACAAAACAAATGAAATGACATCAGAGAACTATTTACTATATTAATTGACTCTAAATAAGACATAAATAGTGATATTATTGTTAGATATTATTAAAGATTAATCATTAGGAGTAATTAAAGGGTAGTGAAAACTTTTTAAAAAATTTATCTGTACATTTATGTTATATCCCTGCATCAGTTTTGATAAAATTTGCATAAATTTGTTGTATTTATATTTATCAAAGTGTGGAACATGTTTACAAGGCATTTGATTAGAATATTTGAAAAAATATTTTAGAATCATAGTAAACAAATTTTTTTTTTGGCCTAACAAAATCCTACTTTGTCAGAAATTTAGGATTTAATAAAATTTCTAGGGAGTTAAACTTCTATTATACATCCAACCTCAAGCGATCGAGGGATCTGGTAAGATACTGAGGTATTGTCCAGAAAGTTAATACAAAAGTGAAAAAAACCATTCCATTTTACATTTATTTAAGATAATTCATTATTTTCCACTTCAAATACTTTCTCTGTGACTCAATAATATTTCAGCTGTCTCTTTGTTCTGTTTTTATGTCTTCCTCTGCAGTATTTATATGAAGTAGAGGACATGAAAATAGAAAGAATTGTGCAGTTGAAGAACTCTCAAAACATAAGACTTTAAGCTGTGGGAACAGAGATTTCACAAGTATTTTATGTCTCAGTAGGAGCCTTAGAGAACAATATTAAATTAACTGATTAAATGTAAAATCAAATTTATATACGAACTTTACAGACCAACCTTGTTAGTCAAAACCTTGCGGAAACCCATCGAAGTTTTT